ATCTCTTATCTCACTCCTAACCACATCAAATCTACTTTCAGCATGGATAAATGTTCATTAAAATACATCCATTGTTGTATCTATATGCTTCTTGAAATCCTAAAAGACCACATCGTTTTTCTAGAACAGATTACAAATCCTTGAAATTGGTACAACAAGTGGCAACAGCTTGACGGAGGTTGCGCTGGGCTGCATGAAATCGAAAGTGGAAACTTAACAGACCCTGTGAAGGCAGTTTTTGCGCATAAATGAAATGGCAGTTTCATTCCGTTACATATATTGATGCCTGTCAATGGCTAAAATAATTTCTCCATAATAATGATATGAATGGAATTATTAATTTTGCCGTCTGAGCTAAACGGAAAGTTGCAACAGATAATGGCTGTGACGTCACAAATGTACCCAGTGTGTGATTGTAAACATGGGGAGGGACTTGGAAGTGATATAGTGAGAATAAATGATTGATTGGACAGCTTTTTCGGACAGGATAGATGAGAGGAAGAGCTGATCAATCTGGGTGCACTTTGAGGGCAACATTAAGAATTTTGGATACAGCTCTCAACACTCATATGAACATATATTTCCATAATCAAAAAACATTGGTAAGTTTTTCTTTAACAGCGAAGACAATTGATATGTTAATGAGATTTTGACCGCAATATTACATAAATGGTATTTGTTTTACATAGATGACCAAACCCACTGAGATAACTTAGGCTACAGTTTACCTCCCTGAGCTGACGTTATCTCTCTCAGTCCCACAGGAGAGGACTCTCCCTCTCCTTATTGTTGAAACAGCTAATCTCCGTTAGCTCCGAGCTAGCACCAGATGCTAACGACAACCCTGTAACTCTCAGTCTCTCTTTCTCTCTCTCTCGAATCGACCAGTGGCCTTTATTTATCATGATCAATGAACGAATCTACGAAACAATGACACCAGCCAGGCTCACCTTCATCTTTTGGGAACAGAAACATCGCCACTTCGGCAGACTTGACATTACTACAGCCAGCGGCAATGCATCGTTTCACCTGTGTTTTTCCTCCCTCTTTCTTCACTGTCGCCTCCATTGTCAGGTTCTCGATTGGCAATCACTTCCAGTCGACTCCGACACACTTTCCATGAAAATACTAGCTCAAAAACGTTGAGAAATTCGACTTTGAAAAAGAAAAAAAATGAACGGTGGTGAATATAAACAGTGCGGCGGCTTCCATCTCGTGACGTCACGCAGTAGATCGCAAGCCACGCCCACGAAGGCGAAGGTCGACTGCAGATTTCCCCGGCAAATTCAAAACTCGTCAAATTCGTTGCTATTCCAACATCTTTTGATATGGGTTCCAATGGACAATTTTGGTCATTACTATACGTATTAGCATAAGAGATCATGCACAGGTGCACACTTCACAGGGTCTTTAAACTTGCTCCATTGCGGAGATATTCCCGCGAGAGTGCGGAAAACTGAAATTAATTCACTAGCCCCCGCCCAACCCCCTCCGTCCGTCCGTCCGTCGACAGGGGGTCGCCAGTCTCTGGCACTGTTATTTTGGGGGTCGCGGGCTGAAAAGTATGGGAACCCCTGGTGTAAATAAAGACTGTAACAGCCAGGCCTTCAACAACAACAAATGCACCTATAAGTTTGGTAACCTAACGTGTTGTTGTGATGACGTAATCAAAACGCGGCGAGAAGCAAGGCGCGCGACCATGCTCGCGGCTGGCTCACAGCGAACATGTCTGCCGCTTGGAGATATTTAAAAATATCAGAGAAAGAGGCGCGGATTGCGATTTGTAAAACGTGTTCAGCTGACATTTCTCGAAGAAAACTGCAAAGACTTTCACCACTTCGGGATTACTCCACCTCTTGAATATCAAAACACCCGGACAAATATGCGGAGTATGATCAACGTAACCCTGTTCTCTGACATTCGGTGATATTTTTTCGGTGCTAAAACCCTTTCGGCCGATAATTTTCGGTGGCCGAATATTCGGTGCATCCCTAGTTATTATGTGGCGATTATCCAGCTGAACAAAACGTGATAAGAATGAATGTGTGTTTGTCACAGAGCTTATTTTCTGCAATAAACTGAAATGGAAAATTTCCATTAGATTTTGTGGAGGGACCCCTTTGCGACGCTCACTTCCTTGGCGGCCTACAAAAATACGCCATCAATCCACCCATATCTTGTTGTCTTGTTTTCTTTGCCCCGTCATGTTATTCCTGTGATGTCACCCAATGCATGCAGCCTTACCTCACTCTCACGGAGAAGCGCACTCCGGTCTTCAGTATCAGAGGTCGTTGTGGTAAACTCGACATGATCGGCTGTTTCTCAACCACCAGAGCACTGCAGAGCAAGACCCCAACGAAAAGTGTCAGAAATATGAAAGTGCATGCTTCAGTCTGTGTGTGTGAAGGACACAAAAGAGTCCAGGAGCCGGGACTCACTTTGCAAGTAGTTGTGTGAACAAGGACAGTGTTTGGTTCTCAATTATTGCCATGAGGCCAGGCAGGATGGAGGCATCGGTGCTGTCGGGTGTGTTGTTCTGCTCTTTCAGTTTCTGCAGCTGTTCGCGCACTCGCAGTAGCACCTCGGCCACAGCTGTGAACCTGCACAGGCCAAATAAGCACACACAAGTTGTCATCAGGGGTGTAGGGCCACTGGTACCAACCACAACTATGACAGGCAGGCAGTGCATGGTTAAGTTGTGATGGTTGATCAAGCTTTAAATGATGCTTACATCTTCTGATTGCCACAGTTGTTCAAATATATAAAAACATCTTCTTGTGTTCATTAAATTGTTGTAGAATTGTAGAAGGACTGTTATTTTTGGAGGAACCTGGAATATTGTTGACATGCAGCTGGATCCATATTTATTTATTTTTTATAGATATTCACGTTATCATTTATAACATATGGACTGTATTTCATCTCTCTTTAATCTATACACCATTACACGTCCCTCCTGGGAGAAGGATCCCTGAACTGTTGCTCTCCCCGAGGTTTCTAACATTATTTCTCCATTATTTGTGGGGTTTCTTGGGAGTTTTTCCTTGTCCCTCACAGGGTCTAAAGACAGTGTTGTATGCTGTACACTGTGGAGCCCACTGAGACAAATGTTTCATCTGTGATATTGGGCTAATTGATTTATATGTCTGAAATATCTGCAGCCTCTGAAAGTGGCTCGGCATCGGCATTACTCGCGGCTGTTCACTGTTCAAATATTCTAAAACCAACGCCAGGCTGCCACAGTTTAACTTTACAGAGCTCTACACACACCACCTTTCCTCCTTCAGGCATTCAGAGAGAATTATAGCCAAGTTCAGTGGCTCAAAGTTTCCTCCCAAACATGACCCATATAAAGCCAAAGTAGTTCTTATAAGTTCTCACCACTTCTGGAGATGGTCCAGACAGGTGTTGGCCAGGCTTCCAATGCAGGCCAGCTGCTGCCTGAGCCTCCATTCGGGCAGCTCCACCTCGGTGAGAGTCGCCACAATCGGCTGAGCCAGGTTCAAAATGTTCACGATCTCCTGCAGCACCACCTGCAATCCAGCAAACACCAAGTGTTCGGGGGGGGTCTCATTATGCTTGTACGGGGTGCACCACAAAAATAAATTAAACCAAAAACAAACTCCATCACGCTCTGAAACGCAGGGATAAATCCAATGTCCAGGCAAGAATATAATTTGTATGATTTATCCAAGGATCCTGAAGTACAATGAACCACAGCCTCCTCTCCTCTGCCCTTTCCTCACTTGTCTAACATTCAAACAATTTCTAAACCACCTGGTTCGTGAAGCTGCATTCAAAATAAACGCATTCAAAAAAACGACCCAAATTAAATTAAAGAATGACTCTAAATAATGATAAAACTACTATTTAGGAGAACAGCAAGAACATTTATTGTTCACTATTAAATAATACAAAACAATAAAAAGCAAAAAAATGTATTATCATCATATACACAACCACTGTGTAATTATATAATGTATGAAAAACTTAGATCGCAGCTTCCTCAACAGTGCAATGACAAGACATAAATAAATAAGGGGCCCTATTCTGAACATTTTCAGGTTCCTATTTCTACTGTGACATGTTTCCAAGCTACAGTGTTCAAAAAGCTCTTTATTTTTCTCGTACTGCCTGAAAGATGTATTCTATCAGTACTATCAGAACCGAGAATGTATCTTTATCTCTAGTTTGGAGATTTAAAAAATAAATTAAACAAAGTCCAAACATTTTCTTACATTTTTTTTTAAACTGCTAAAAATGTAAAATGCTTTAAGACAACAGTTTATCAGTTTGTATAAATCTCACCAAGCGTACATCTACAGTACCTGCTTTGTTTGTATGATAAAGTTGGTCCGCTTACGACATTCCTCTTCCACAACAGCATGGGACTGGGCCAATCCAATGTCCTGCTCCACTGCAAATCACCAATGAGACACAGATGAGGCACAAACTCACAACACACCTGTCGCCGGTGTCTTTACGTCTCCTACCATACCTTTGTTTTGCCAGGTCTTCTGTATGAAGTCAAGGTTGTCATTAAGAATCTCCAGTGACTTAATTTCCTTATTCACCTCCTGCATTAAAGTTCACACATTTAAAAAGTATTTTTCTCATCAATAAGAAATGTTCTATCAATAAAAAAGTGACAGACTAAATGTGTTTACCATAATCAGTCTTTTCAGTTCATTGATTTTGTTGTCCATATCTTTCCATTTCCATTTTTGATCCATGTCTGGACTGCCACAAGCCTGACAAAAACAAAAGGTGTTACTTTATATGTTGCTTTTATTAGCGTTATTGTTGACAATTACACAACAGACTGACAGACAGAATGTGTGTCTGTTGTGTAACTGTAAGAACTGTAAACATCAAGATGTCTCCTGTCGGAGGAGCAATACAAATCTAAAAGATTAGACACATTTGAATAATCTCGTAGCAAGTGATTGATGTTTAAAGCATTTATGCAGCCTGAACTGTTTGTCCACCTTAAATCATCTTACCTGTGCTTCAGAGGCTGAAGCCTTGATCTTCTGTTCCTCCTTCAGGCACTCAGAGAGGATTACAGCCAGGTTCAGTGGCTTATCTTCAAAGTTTTTCTAATTCAAAAAATATGATCAAATACACACAAAATCAAACGAGGCTCTAAGGTGTATTGGTTATTGAATGTTGAGTTTACATATCATTGTGTCTGCCCTACCAGCAGGTAGTCCTTCATCCCAGTGTAATCAGGTCCCTGTAAGAGGATGTTCTCCTGCACGGAACGGATCCACTGTTCTTGCAGATCCTCCAGCAGTGCATGGAAACATGTGCTTGCTGCATTTTCATCCCCAGCTGCCAAATCCCTAGCAAAGAGCAACAGAAGATGTTCCTTCATTCAGGGATTGTGTCCAACTACTTGTGTAGAATGAGGATAAACTTTGGGGGACAAAATATCAATCCACTTTTTTGTTGCATTTTTGAGGATGATAGATTTTCTTATTTGATCTCTTTCTTATGACTTTCTCACATTATAACAGGAGTTATTGACTGTATATACTATATAGGTCTGTATATTAATGTGGGTTTTCCCCAAAGTCTGTTAAATTAAAGTATTTCATGTATAATTAGAAAAATATATATCATCTTTCAGGACAAGAGCCCGTTTACTCAGCAGCGTTCACCAGGACAAAGAAAGAACTGCGTTCATTGACCTCCCCATTTTCCAACTGCTGTGGCACGTAGTGTTCCTCCCATTGGAAGGTTGCTGGTTCAATCCCCTCCAATCTACATGTTGATGTATCTTCTGGGAAGATAAGTGCTTCCAATGGCATGGCCATCAGTTTGGGAATGTGTGTAAATGACAGCTTATATGAGTGAATGCTGACTGAAGAACGGCAAGAAGCCAATTTGTTTGTAGTAACTAGATTGAGATAAATATAATTGACTAAAATATAGAATAATATGCAATTCATTTGACAAAATAAAGCCCACACAGCAAGATTTGACCACAAAAGTGTGCTTCAAAATGGTTACATGAAAATGTGAATGCTGACAGCTGCACAAATCTGTTGCTTAACTTAGCTGACAAAACCTGACGGTGAAATGTAAAACTGGCAGATGTGACAAAAAGTGAAAACACTTAATATATTTTAAAGTGTCATTTCAGAATTGGAGGACATTTAGACGGCAAAACTTTTGAAAAACGAACCCTTTGATTTCTGGTTTTCTGTCATGCTTTTGAGAAAAACAGGGATTGAACAATAAAGAAAACGATTTTGCCAGCTCAGGCATTTATGGTACATATTTTATTAGATGTTTTATTTGTTGCTTTTCAGCAGGGCTCGATGGTGGGCTAGAACTTTGAAATCAATAGAATTTAACCTCTTGATCTACCGTAATTATAATCAAAACACAGTTGTGTTCATTTTGAGATAATTGTAAAATGTAAAAAAAAGTGTTAATTGTTGCCACATTAACATGCCTAGGCTACCTGGTTCCAATAACAAAAAAGGTAGTTCATATTCTGGGAAAATACAGTATTACATTAAAAACATGTAGATTATGCATAATGCTCGAAGGTATAAACAACATAAACCATAGCTATCCCGCTCTGCTGCTGAATCAGCACAACAATGCACACGTGGCTTTTAAGACCCCTAAGGTGTATCAATAGCATACAGAGCATTGGGCAATGTATGTAATGACTACAATCTGTCAGTGCCTCTTACCAGTCCAGGCTCTCTATTAGGACGCACAGGTAGTGGCGGATCTCTCTGGGAAACCTCCCCTCGTACAGCTGGCTCACCCGGGCCTGGAGGGCCGCGTCCAGCCGCAGCAGGTCCTGCCACTGGGCCATCTGCAGTCAGCACAGGAGGGAGAAGTACTTATTATTATTATTATTATTATTATTATACTTAAGTAAAAGCAGACATGCAACAGTGTAAGAATACTCCATTACCAGTACAAGTCCTGCATTTAAAGTCCCATTTAACTTTGTCAAATAAAAGTACCGGTAGTTGAGTGAACAGTTACATTTTGTCTTACACCTTGGATACTTTTTTTTTTTTTAAAGTTATTTTTTGGAAAAATGCATGTACAAACAACATGGCATTCAGAGTATTCAAAGTAAAACATCGTAAATAGAACATAACAGAAATTGACAAGACATAAAAGTAAACAAATAAAGTAAAGTACATAGCTACAACAGAGGGCTAGGTCTTTTCACATAAATCGTATTTTCCAATTGTGCTTAACAGTTTTATTGCATTTGTATTCATCATTATGGTAATTGGTAGTGATGGCAGTTTGACACTGAAGCTTCGAACGGAGCTTCAACCCTGGACTTCCTATTCCATAGAAGCAGTGCTTCGAAGCTTGCTTCAAATCACGTGACATGTGACGTCCGAAGCAGCAACTGCTTCAAATCACGTGACATGTGACGTCCGAACCAGCAACTGCTTCATTTCCTGAATGAATCAACTCACTGGTTCGCCGTCCAATCAGGTGATTCAATGCACTGCCTCGTCTCGATTCTGACAGGTGACAGGTTGAAACAGTTTCAAATTTGAGCGCTTCAACACTTTATAACCGCTCTAAACAATGCGCAATGTGTGGGTTGTTGTCGTAGTTTGCATTGTTGCTGTTGAGTTGTTGTTGGCATTGCATTTGAATTGGATCATTATAGAGCAAGCCAGGAAGAAAAATAGGTCGTTCTGGCTCGTGAAACACTTCGAAATGTGGAGAAGTTGTGAACAAAAAGACAATGAGTAATATAAAAACACTTCGATGGTCTAAGGAATTGATAGCCCAGTGGATAGAGCC